TTCACAAAAGTCTTATCACTCATTTTGTATTTTCTTATGATTTTTATTTTTTATTCAATGACACCATCTTCTAACTGTTTTTATTTTCACTGCTCTCAGGTCTACGAAACTGGACGGCTCCGTTGGTCACTTGTTGCGATCATTGTGTCGCAAAAACAAATAATTTATTCTTTGTGGCTGGTGCGCCCCAACTTTTTCCAATGTACGCCACAACGACAAAACGGACATTAGGCTATTCCGCTGGATGTGGTTAGGGCGATCAATAACATAATGACTACGCGGACACTCACACACACGTTTAGTCAGAAGCTCCACAATGCACATCTCATCAGCGCTCGTTGACTATGTGCTCGAATCTAAAATCTCACTCCATAGCACATCATTCCACACCAGCACGGGGCATTAGCTCTTTTGGCTAAGAGTGATGGCTTGTGGCCTACAGTGACTAATGTGTGCATTCGATCAATTGAAATCCATTCTGTAGGTCTCACGTCTGGCTCTGATGTGCTAGCCCATAAGCGCAAGGAGTGAGTGTGTTTAGCTTTCTATTCACCCGATTTGAAAGTGAACAAAGACATAACGAGACCATACTAGAAGACCAAACGGTACGTATTAATGCACTACACCATCACACCTGTAGACATCAACGGCCTCTAAAACCAGTATATCAAATATTTGTTCTTTATTATATACTTTTGTTCATAATCTTATTTTACTTCATCCTTGTATATTTATTCAGATTTGTGTTATGTGTGAATAAGGCTGTATATTGTGAGAAGTATAACAGTGCGAAAATTTTACACAAAAGTACGTATTAGCGTATTTTTTATAACAAATGTATTCTCGGTTGGAATATACTGAAAAATTTCATTAGATAAGTTTAGACTAATCACGATTTTGTTAGGTTTTTTTGTATATATCTAATTTTTTTGATTTTACGTCGCTAAGTTAATTTGTTGTGGTTTGCACTTTAATGTCTTCACTAACGTTCCTTTGGTCGTTTTGTCAACAATATTGTTTTTTAACGTTACATTTTTTAGTGGTTATAAGCTATTAGTTTAAAATCGCAAATATTGTCTTATCTTTTTATTTCCTCATTATTTTCTGCCTACTGATTTGATGTTCGTATATTTTTTTATCTCTGGCTAATCGTTATTTAATTACTCTGAGTCTGTTTCGTGTGATAGCTATTGTCTCTACTTACCAGGCAAGAATTATATGAGAACATACTATTTAGAGTTACATATTTTTTATCATACTTTCGTTTAACTACTTTCGTACTAACCACAAAACATCTTAACTTATTATCAATGCTTATGAGTGGTATTTACTTATTAAATTTATAATACATATTTCAGCCATAAAAGAAACGGTAAGTTACTATTAATTATAAATTACTATTTTCTATTCGCCTTTTGTTATTTCTACACATTATAATTGTTTATTTACACACGCGCATACGTACATGTGTACAAGTTTGTATCTTCTAATGTAAGGGTACCTTATATTTATATGTGTTTACATATCTGTTTATGGTCACACCACGCGCATTTCTCACTAACCTCACGAGATCTCTAAGAATGTTGGAGCTGTTTTCAAAGACTGGGATAGGGATTGGTTTTTTGGCTTTTGTAGTGTAGTCCTATTTTCTTGCAATATTGACTAGCATGACGTAGAGTGCAGGCGGTGAGATCTGTTGCAAGGACACGCCCTTGACGAGTGGCGTTAGTGCAGGTCTCGGGCTCTCCGAAACGTCATTGGTGATCGCAGTGCATTCCTGAGGAGGGGGATCACCATTTATCCACTTCTTAATTCTAATTGGTTATTATGGCACCAACATTTTTTTACCTCTTAGACCCATGTACTTTTGCGCTTTGTGAGGTTTTTATTATGAATTTGTTACATTATTGACATTTATATACTTTTATGTTACACAGGTGATTATCAGTTCTCAATTTTTTATCTAGAGTTTAGTACATATATAGTACCACATTTATTAGACACTTGCATGGTGCGATTATTTTAGTTATGAAAACCATTATAAACCAGCGGATTTTTATTGACTTGTTTACCCATAGATCAATGTTTTATCATTTGCTAAAAGATGACTAGACTGTGAGTTTTTATTCCTCTTTTCTTGAGTTGCTAACTTTTATTCCTCCTACTAAATAATCTTTACATTAATTTATGTTTTTTTACCTAAATGACATCATCTTCAATCTGTTTTTATTTTCACATCTCCAAGGTCTACGTAACTGGACGGCTCCGTTGATCACTTTTTGCAATCATTGTGTCGCATATGCAAAAAAATTGATTCTTTGTGGCTGGTGAGCCCCGACTTTTTCTAATGTACACCACAACGACAAAACGGACATTAAGCTATTCCGCTGGATGTGGTTACGGCGCTCAATAACCTAATGACTACGCTGACACTCACGCACACGTTCAGTCGGAAGTTCCACAATGCACGTCGGATCAGCGCTCGCTGACTATGTGCTCGGATCTGAAATCTCACTTCATAGCACATCATTCCACACCAGCACGGGGCAGTAGCTCTTTTGGCTAAGAGTGATGGCTTGTGACCTACGGTGACTAATGTGTGCATTCGATCAATTGAAATCCATTCTGTAAGTCTTACGTCTGGCTCTGATGTGCCAGCTTATAAGCGCAAGAAGTGAGTGTGTTTAGCTTTCTACTCACCCGATTTGAAAGTGAACGAAAACATAACGAGACCATACTAGACGACAAACGGTGCGTACTAATGCACTACACCATCACACCTGTAGACATCAACAGTCTTCAAAATCAGTATATCAAATATTTGTTCTTTGTTACATATGATCTACATACAGAGTGATTAGACTTTTAGTTGTTCTCTCCTTGCCCTCCGAACATTTACTTCGTTCTTTACCTTCACAAAACTCATTTTGTATTTTCTTATGATTTTTATTTTTTATTTAATGACACCATCTTCTAACTGTTTTTATTTTCACATCTCTCAGGTCTACGAAACTGGAAGGCTCCGTTGGTCACTTGTTGCGATCATTGTGTTGCATAAACAAATACTTTATATTTATTTTATATTTAGTACTATATACTTTATACATTATATTGTTAATAAATCATTATACTTTAGTATCAGATTTATAAACATAGACAAATATAGCATGGCAATGTTGCTAGGATAAGGCTACATGATGCTAGGCCTATGTTTTGTGAATCCAGACCCAGCACAGTAATAAATTAATAAACTTATAGAACTATTTATTCAAATTCAGGAAATTCCAATAGCTTGATATGCAAATATATAAAGGCAATAGCTTGCTCTTGTCAAAGAAACTTTCAGAAGAGTATGTTCATATCCATATTTATTTGGGGATTATGTACCAGAGTTTGTTCTCCTAATAAATTTGCATTCCCTATTGCCACAGAGCCTCTCCTGTCCTGTTTCTCTTTGTCAAACACAAATCTGTTGAATATATAACTTCTTTGCTATTAGGACCAGATCTTGAACTAAGAACAGATGAAAATGGTATTGTAACTGGAATATTTTTTCAAGACTATGAAATGAAGCGATTTTTTGGTTTATATCCAGAGTTACTTTCGGTTGATGCAACTTATAAACTTACTAATTTGAGAATGCCCTTATACCTTCTTCTTGTAGTCGGACCAAATGGCGAAAGCAAAACTGCAGCTATATTTTTAACTGCATCAGAAGACTGTGTTTCACTTTCAGCTATGTTTGAAATATTCAAGGAAATAAATATAAACTGGAGTAAGATATCATCTGTTTTTACTGACAAAGATAAGACAGAGCGTGAATGCATTACGCATGCATTTCCACAAATTAATTTATTGTTGTGTATATTTCATGTTTTGCATTGTATGAGCAGAGAAATAACAACATCAAAATTGAATATATCTGAAGCTCAAAGACTGGTTGCTTTAAAAGCTCTCTAAAAAATGACATATGCAACTACTGAGAAAGAGTTTGAGAAGTTGCGTGATGAATTTTCACAAAGTTATGCCACCACCTATTGTTAAATATGTTGAAGTTAATTGGCATGCTTGTAGGTTCGAGTGGGTGCGTTGTTGGCAGCAACAAAATATTACTTTTGGAGAATGCACTACTAATCGTCTTGAATCTATCAATCGAAGAATTAAAGCTGTTGTTTCTTTGTTTAGTCCTTTACCTATATTTTTCAAAGATTTGCTTTCTGTTATAGCCTGCATGCGACAAGAAAGAGACCATAAATATATAACTAGTACAGAACGAGTTCTTGTTAGTGCAGTTGCAAGTTTTCAATATGAACAAGATTATAAAGATATACTAACGCCGTTTGCTTTTTCTTTTGTTAAATCTCAGCTTGATGAATCTGTCAGCATAGATTGGGACAGCATAGATTGGCAAATGAAATTATACAAACTTCTGGAAAAAGTGAAACACGATCTGAGAACACCTGCGATCGTTTATTTACAAAGTCGATGGGTTTGCCATGCAAACACATGTTTGCAGCTAGAAGAGTAAAAAAATTACAAATGTTCTCTAAAAATTGCATTGCTCCAAGATGGTTTAAGGAAACAGTGCAGAAAAATCATCGCGTTTTTCTAACAAAGGAGCAACATGATAGCCATATAAAATTTGCTAAGCTAAAGGATAAACCCTTGACCCACATAGAAAAGTACCGTCGTGCTAATCGACTTGTACAGCATTTATCTGATTTAGCAGCAGAAGGTGGATCATCACAGTTTGAATGTAGAATGAGGGTCTTACAAAATTTAGCAAGTATTTGGGGTTATAATAATGAAGCTATGGTAACTTCAATTCAACACCATTTTGTTGATTTTAATATACAAAACGGATGTTCCAAGTTGGAAATGGAAGATAATATATTTCGGTCTGAACTGCATGAAAGAAAAGTAAGATTTTAATTTTTATAGTTTATTGACATTTTGCCAATTTGGCTGCTATAAATTGTTTATAAGTATTTCAGTATTCATAATTGTTTGTCTTCCAACTATAGTTTGAAATGACAGATTCAAGTGAGGAAGTTGTTGAAGTTGTTAATGTTGAAGAAAATGACAAAAGCAATTTTGATCCAAACTCTGAAGTAAGCTGTGATTTGTTTGACTTATTTAATAAAATTATTTATTTTAAGAAGTTAAATTGTTTTATTTCCAATAAAAGTTTGAAAGACCAGGTTGCAGTGGTGAAATTGAAAGCAATACAGTTCAAAACTCTATAGTATACCTTTGTTCGTTTTCCAGATTAAAATTATTTATTTTATGAAGGTAAGTTGTTTTATTTCCAATTATAGTTTGAAAGACCAGGTTGCAGTGGTGAAGTTGAAAGCAATACAGTTCAAAACTCTATAGTATACCTTTGTTTATTTTCCTTTTTGAAATTATTTAAGTTATGAAGTTAAATTTTTTTATTTCCAATTATAGTTTGAAAGACCAGGTTGCAGTGGTGAAGTTGAAAGCAATACAGTACAAAACTTTACAGTTTCTTGTGAAGGGATTATAGGTTTGACAATATTTATTTATTGTAATTTTGTCTATGTAACATGTAATATGTATATGTAGTTTTCCAACATTGTAAATAAATAAAATCTGATTTAATAAAAACAAAACAGAAATATGACAAAATCAATACATAATACAATCATTACTCGTTCATCTCATTCAGTCTGAGCACATGTGGGGTACATCTATTGATCTTTTTACTATTACGTGGATTAATTTTACATTCTGCATTCATTGATCTTTTTACTTTTCCAAAAAATCTCTATTGAACTGGACTTTTTTTTTTTGATGAACAAGGCTGCTGCGCGAAGAAACAAGTTGAGTGCGGTACTACCAGGGACGTGGTGGAGTTTGAACTTGGAACTTCTCGCATATGAGGCGAGCGCTCTACCACTACACCACTACCGCTTAAAATAAATAATGCATCTGTTGTTTCATTTCATGGTCTTAAACCAAATTGTGGTTTATTGATAAATGCATTTTAAATACTAGTATTTCTCCACCTTTTATAAATAACAAACCATCAGACGTACCTCTTGTTAACTGGCACAACCGGCAATATTGTATTTTCTTTTTGAGGGTTGTTATATAAAATAAAAACTTACAATAGAATCAATTGTTGATGATCATTAATTTTTAGAAGTCAGAAAGGAAACTGAAAAACAGATTAAAGAAATCATAAGTCTCAATCAGATGGACTGTTTAAGTAAATCAAAAAATCTATTATGTGAAACTTCAAAAATACCTGAGTCCCAACTTGATTTATCTTAAATTCATTTTCCATCAAAGTTTATATCACGAGGGCGTCCTAAGTCAAAAGGGAAAAAAAATGCTGTTGGACTGCGTAAAGTTTCGAAGATCTGTTTGCCTTTTGAACAGAAGACCGTTAAAGAAAAAGTTCATCGTAAGTATACGTTATTATTTACATATCAACAATCAGAAATTTAAAATAGGCTTTGGTTTAATAAATCAATTTGATGAATAATTTAAGACACTTTATTTTTTTTACAATTTTGCAAGTAAACCTCCAAGAGAAGTCACAGGTTAGGGTAAGTCATGGTAGAGGAAGTCAATAGTTTTGCAAAGTTTGACCTATATGTGTTTCAAAACTAATTTAAGAAATACCTATAATTGAATTGGAATTCGATACTTCACTAGTCACCTCGTAAAATGAGATCACCGTTTAAAAACACTCGAACAAACGTTTTTTTTTTACAAGAGATGATGAGTTTAAATCATAATTCTTTCTTTATTTTTAGTTTTGCTGCGGCGTTTGCTGAAAGGTGGAAGACCTAAAGATGTTACGGTTATTACACCTGCTGATATTGCAGACCTGAACTTAGAAGCTAAAGATCTTCCATCAGCTCTAATGAATGAAATAGTAGTTTTAGAAATTCTTAAGCCATTTCTTACAACACAAGCATGGAAGATTTTAAGAGCTTCTTTTTGAAGACGCAAAAAAATGAAAATGTGGAATTGCCCAATTTGACTACTCAATGCTCCCACAGAATCAATTGAGTGTAGCAGTTGTCTTGAGTGATACCACTTTAATTGTGTCAAGGTGGCTAATTGTGTCAATTAGTAGAATTTGTGTCAATGAGTGTCAATTAGAAAATGTGTCAATTAGTAGAAATTAGACTAATTTTGTCAATTAGTAGACTAATTGTGTTAATTAGTAGAAGAAATTGTGGTAAGGTAACTAAAAATTGGTACTGTGGTACTTGTCTGTTAAATGTGGAAACTTAAAATTTATCGGTAGTTAAAGTAGGCTATTGTTAAATTTAACAATAAACTTCATTTCTCAAGATTCTTTTTTTATTAATGTTCACTGTAATATTGGAAAAAGTTTTTAAAACTTATGTATATTTATCATTACAATTTATGAAATATCTATGAAATAATTAATACTTATTCAATGTAGTTATTTTATCTCAACAAGGTTTTATTATTTATAATTTTTATTCAAAATATATCGGCCTTTGAAGCAATGGTCAGTGACGTAGCAAGATTGTTGGCGGCCGGGTTCAGGTATTGGGAAGATGCCTTAAGGGCAAATTTTGAATATAATAAGCAGAGGATGTTAGATGAAGGACTTCAGACTTCAGGAACGTGCTAAAGTCGTGTTGAGGTCTTGCTAAGTTGATGCATGCTTAAAAATTATTATGATAAACTTCAGGGAGCTGGGTTCGTTGAATCTTTTATTGCTACGCTAAACTGTGTTTTTTTAAACAAGCTTTACTCTTAATAGTAGCAAAACTTAGCAGTCGATCTATTTTATAAAAAGTGATAAAATATATCTGCGGTATAGTTTACATGTGCTGACCATACTTAGTTTTTTTATAAATAAATATAAAATATTTTTCCAATTTTTACAGACAATTGGACATTAATACAACTATTTTAAACTATTACTTTATGTTTTGTATGACAAAGTAAAGTATTATTTCAACTCCTGATAAATCTATTTTTTGTTATAACTAATTTTCTATAATAAATAAAGTTAATAAAGAAATAACAAAAATATTATTTTCAGGAGTTATTGTTACTTAGTCGATGTAGCAGCACTCCGTTGCATGTTTTTCCTCAATCATTTGATGTATGTACTGAAGCTTCCAACCATATCCTTATTTCCGCACTTTATTCCCGCTTTGTACCCGTGACCGTTACAGAAATATAAAAAAAGTTATCTGTTTTATGGCTTACAGCTAAGCCAACGGGCAGTTTTGCTAAAGAAAGTCTTATTTAAATGGTTAAATATAATTTGAAATATTGATTTAATATTTTTATTACTGTCTATTTATTAAAGGTAGTATGGATACAGTATTTATCCATCCATTGCCAAATGTTTTTCTTAATTCTTATTAAATTGGCTTAAGGTTTTTTAATATTAGAATTATTATTATTGTTATTACTATTAATATTCTTAAGTCCTAATGGTCTTTTCACAGATCACCAACCCATGGAAAATAGCATTTAATAGATTGGCTATCTGTTTCAAATCTTACAGAAAATGTTTTCGTGCCAACCCGGGAAGCAAACCCAAGACTTTGTGGTCAGAGTTCGAATACTTGACCACTACGCTACGACTGCCTACTACGCAACGGTTCCTTGATAAAATTCAGGTCAAAAAGTTTGGACCTATTTCAATTTTTTTTTTCTTAGTAATTAAATTATACGTCTTTAAGTTTTGACGTACCTTGATCTTTATTTAGTAGGAATTCGTCTAATTTTTTCTGTACATTTGTTTGGACGTATCGTTTTAAAGTTTTAACTTTTTTGTTAGGAATACATATATAAACTTTCCTACCGCGTCTGAAACTTTTTTAGTCAAAACTTTTTTCCAGTTAAGGTGAGTTTCCACTCATCCGTTTTTGCTACGGGAACAGGATAGGAAAAGGAAAAAAAATCACTTGAGCATGCGCAGTTTTACTTCGGACAAATTTAAACTTTTAATACGCATGCTCACGTGGTTATTTTTACCTTCCCTTTCCCGTTCCGGTGAAAAAACGGATGAGTGGAAACTCACCTTTAGAAAATCCAGGTTTCGTGTTTTTTGTGAAATCCAGACCCGAATTATATAAAATTTATATTTATATAATTTATTCCATTTATACTCATTTACTTATAACAATTTTTGATAGTAATAATACTTTATAATAAAATTTGTTGATATAAAGACATGTCTAAAGTAAGGAATACGTCTAAACCTTCATACTGCTTCCGAAATTTTGGACGTATCTTCAAAGGTGAGTTTCCACTCACGTTTTTTCACGGGAACGGGAAAAATAATCACGTGAGCATGCGTAGTTTTCCTTCAGACATATTAAAACTTATACTACGCATGCCCACGTGATTATTTTTCCCGTTCCCGTGAAAAAAACGGATGAGTGGAAACTCACCTTAACTTATTTTTTTAGGAATACGTCTAAATCTTATTACCGCGTCCGAAGTTTAGACGTATCTTTAACTTATTTTTTTAAGTGACGTCACCGTCTTACCTCGTCTAAACCTTCCTACCGCGTCCGAAAGTTTGGACGTATCTTTAACTTATTTTGTTAGGAATACGTCTAGACGTACCCGTAGCCACTGCGAATGAAAATTGTGAATTTGAAATTTCATCTGATAGTGGTTCAGATATAAGCGAAGAACATAATGTAGTAGATGAACTGGAAGGTGATTTAGCTTTTTGGTATTTTCAACATAATATTACACAACAAGCATTCAGTGATCTAATTTGCATTGTGAGAAAGTTAACTCCTGGTTTCACGGCTGTTTCAGAGTGAACATACGGCTTCTTATTTTTTGAAAATAATTTGTTTTTTGAAAATAATTACTTAGGGGGTGTTACTAAAACTTTCATAATTTTTGAAATATTAAAGATAAATACGTTCTGTTAAAAAGAATATGAACACTGACTAAATGTTTTCTATTTTATTATTTAATATAAAAATCCAAGGCTGCTCTGATTTTTAAATAAACGCGCAAAATGACAAACTTGGCAGAATTTTGATATTTTAATAGTACTTTTTAGCAAAAATAATCAGAAAAATTATATTTTTGTTGACTAATATGTAATATAAACATAGTTAGACCAATTATAAATCATATTAACATTATTTATACCGAATGCAAACTAATACAGGCACTACAATAAACGAAATAAAAAAATCGCAAAATTTTTTTCTTTTATTAAAAGATTTAGAACAAAAAAAAAGAGTTTTGAGTTATTTTTATATTATTGTTTTTTTTTTAATTAATTAATGCTGTTGTGATAAAGCGCCAGGCAATATCCGTGACAGCCGGTATAAATTAATTATTGAACAAGTTAGTTCAGTCACTAAATAATAAAAAACGTTAATAGTAAGCTTTCTTGGTTTTTATCTTGTTTGTTATTGCTTCTAAGTCGACCGATTGCAAGTTTAATTTGAAGCTTTTAACTGTAGTAGATTGAACAACTTCGGCTGGTAGACTATTCCATCCATCGACAACTCTATTGCTGAAAAAATATTGCCTATTCAAACAATTTCTGACCAATTCAGGTTTCATTCGATGTTTTGCTCCCCTAATGTTAGCTGCAGGACCTGATGAGCAAATAGAGTTCATTGTTTGATTTTGTTTAATATCAATGATTTCAATACCTTTAAATATTTTGAATTGCTGGATTATATCGCACCTTAGCCTTCTAGTCTCCAAAGTAGTCAAACCCAAAATTTCCAATCTTTTTTTGTACTCAAGATGTCTTAGCTCCGGTATCATTATCGTAGCTCTTCGTTGGACTTTTTCTAGTTCATTAATATCTTTTGTATAATATGGACTCCATGCTTGAATTGAAAACTCTAAATTTGGTCTAACATATGTACAATACAGTGTTTTTATTAGATCTTTATCCTTGTACTTGAATGTATTATTTAGTAGTGAGAGTATACTATTTGCTTTACTAGCTGCATATTTACTTGTTTGGCCTATTTTAAATTACTTGATATATAAACACCAATGTCTTTTTCTAATTTTGACTTTTCAATTTCCATAAATGTATTGTTATTGTTCATAAAATATGAATATTCGTTATTATTTGAACCAAAGTGCATAATTTTACATTTTTCAAAATTTAATCCTAATTTCCATTTTGTTGACCATTCGTCAAGTTTATTTATATCATTTTGAAACAATGGTGAATCATTTTGAGAAGAAATAGGTGCAATTATCTTATTATCATCAGCATATAAACGACATTCATTAATAAAATTTTCTGGTAAATCATTTATAAATACCAAAAAAAGGAGAGAACCTAGAACAGACCCTTGTGGTACACCACTAAGTACATCAACCCAATCTGTCACACTTTTACCTAAAACCACTCTTTGTTTTCTGTTAGCTAAA